GAGTCTCAGACTGGTTGTGAGATACTTATATAAAGACTTTGATCAGAGTCTCAGACTGGTTGTGAGATATCTATATAAAGAACATCTTTTTACGCTGATATAGGTTCATGAAAAACGAAACAACGACATCATGCAATGATCTTATTATTCGAATTGGTATCCAGAAGGTAGATACGAAACAGTCGTAAAAATTGATAAAATCTGTGTTAAAACGTTTAGACTAGTCCTAATATAATTGACAAAACAAAAATGTATTTTTCTTTCTATCAAGTACAGTCATCTTATTCGTATAGTTACAACATAGTTACAATATTAAACGACGTATCATTTGAAAGATAATATAATTTTCTCTAGAGGTTTGTCATTGTTGGATATACAAGATTATTTAGTTTAAGAGTTATTATTTAATGATTACTTAGTTTTCATAACAAGGGTGTTAAAAGTTTGTTATTTTAAAAGCGATAGTTGTGAGGAGTTTCGCCACTTAACTCTGTACTAGTACGTTGTGTATGTATGATAATTTAATTGTTGACGTCATCCTTACTCGAAGCTTCTAAATATTTCTCGTTATGCGAATATTGTTGTCACTAGAGGACTAAATATTTCTAGATTTTTCTGTCGCTACTGCCCCCTAGTGGCACAGCGGTATGTCTGCGGACTTACAACGCTAGAAACCGGGTTTCGATACCCCGTGGTGGGCAGAGCACATATAGCCCATTGGCTTTGTGCTTAATTACAAACAAAAACAAACAACTGTCGCAAGTACGTGCAGATCTAGAGAAAAAGTAAAAAGTAAGTTAGTGAAAGAGAAGTTAGACTGCGTTGTGTGCTGTTCGTTTATTGTTCGAATTTATCGCTAACAAAGTCGTAGACACCTACTGTAAAATAATCCTGGCCCATATAAAAATCTAACAGTAATCAAAAGTCAATTTCATGAAAATTTTGTTTTGGTACCAATTGCAAACCGCTTAGCCTTTCCGTCCTTAACGCGAGTGTATAATTCTATAACTAAAAGAACGTGTACCCGTTTTATAACAATACAAGTTTGAACTATGATTAATTTATGACTTTGTCTAGTATCTTATCCACATTAATTAATCACTGGTATTTATTTATTATAATGTTTTTATTATAATTGTTATTTTAATGATACTATTTTGATGTAGTAGAACAAGTATCTCAAACTCTCTATTTCTTCATTTATCATAGAAATATGACATTTAAAACCACTCCATTCCAACGTTAATATTGTACTATAAATCGTAAAATAACAAAAATTAAAGTTGGGTAGTAATTTAACATTTATTGGATTTACACACGTTTCCAATGTAGTGACCGTTATAAAGATGTACGACTGTACATGCTACAATATTGTTTAGCCTGCGATGAACCCATCTAAAATTTCCTTCAAAGTTTGAGAACAGTTGGAACAACATGAAACTCGATTTAGAATAGAGTAGGTTATTTCTGATTTTTGAGTATGTTAGTAAGTTTAGTCAGTAAATTATTGAGCAAATGAGCCTGTTAGTTAGTGAATACGTCTGTAAGTTATTTTAAGGCAATTATTTATTTAAGTTTTTTTTTTTAATTTCGAGTTTTTCTTTACGACGCGGTAATGGAGATACAAGCAGAAAAGTACGTACGAGAAATTAGCAAGTAAGCGAAATTGTTCTATTAGCGTCTTGCTGTGAAACTAAGTCTGACAGTGAATACTGGGCTAGCTTAGAGAATTTGTAGTCAAGAAATAACGCTTTAATTAGTAGGCAGACTTTTTTTTTTTACGGAACAGTCCAAAAGAGGCCGCCCAACAATACAAACAGTTACGACAACATATTAAACTACTGTTGTTATGAAATTTATTTTAAAGTATAAATATTTGATTTAAAATAAGCCAGATAAAGACGGCGTTTTTATTTTTGAACTGATAGACTAGAGCAGTGTTTCCCAAAGTGGGAGCCACAGCCCTGTTGTAGCCGCGAAGCTTTTTCTAGGGTACCTCCGCAAAATGGTCCGAAAATAAAGATGCTGAATTAATTTTAATTCTGAATAAACAATAAGCCGATAAAAATTATGTTGAATTAATTAAATGTTGCAGTGTGTCGAAAGGAGATGTTATTGTTTTTACTACGGCACTGTTTTTCAACCATTATGCTAAACTTATAGGTTGTGGAGACCTCAAACGTTTTCATTCACATCAAGGGAGCCTCAAACTGAAAGAGTTTGGGAACCACTGGACTAAAGGGATAGCATCTAGTCAACACCATCCAAAGAACACTGTTGAAATATTCTTGTCTTAACGAATAGTTGGATTTATCCGTCACGTTTATAGTGCACCCATTACCACAAAATGTGGAGAGCGTTTCCGCAGTAACAAGTTGCGAAACATCAAGCCTCGGATTCACTATTTTGGAATAGTAACCATTAAGCCACACCCCGTCTTAATCGTTTCACAAATATAAAATTCTCCTTACATCTTTTTCAAACAGATGATGAGATAAAGCTTGGCTTTCTTTTTAATGTTGTGTACAGGCAAAGATTCATTTTAATGTGTTTGTGGTCATATAGTTTTTTTTGGATATTTACTAGGGCTGTATACACTAGCACTCACTAATTTGGAATTGACAGAATACAGAAAAGGCAGCTAGTCAACTGTATCTGTCAAGAACTTTTACTTTTTAAAGTAGATGTATATACACTGTCCTACCAAAAGTCAAGGGACACACCTCTGATTGCAGGAAAATTGA